TTCGGATGGGTCCGGTCGATCGATTTGGGTTCGAATGGGGCCCGGTCGATCGATCCGGATCCGGATGGGGCTGGATTCGGATGGGTCCGGACGATCGGCCCGGGTCCGGATGGGGTCCGCTCGATCGATTCGGATCCGGATGGGGTCGGATTCGGATGGGTTGGATCGATCGATCCGGATGGGTCCGGCCGATCAATGGGGGTCCGGATGGGGCCCGGTCGATCGAAATTGGATCCGGATGGGGCTGGATTCGGATGGGTCCGGTCGGTCGATTTGGGTCCGAATGGGGCCCGGTCGATCGATCCGGATCCGGATCCGGATCCGGATGGGGCTGGATTTGGATGGGTACGGACGATCGGCCCGGGTCCGGATGGGGTCCGGTCGATCGATTTAGATCCGGATGGGGCTGGATTCGGATGGGTTCGATCGATCCAATCCGGATGGGTCCGGTCGATCGATTGGGGTCCGGATGGGGCCCGGTCGATCGATTCGGATCCGGATGGGGCTGGATTCGGATGGGTCCGGTCGATCGATTCGGGTCTGAATGGGGCCCAGTCGATCGATCCAGATCCGGATGGGCCTGGATTTGGATGGGTCCGGACGATCGGCCCGGGTCCGGATGGGGTCCGATCGATCGATTCGGATCCGGATGCGGTCGGATTCGGATGGGTTCGATCGATCGATCCGGATGGGTCCAGTCGATCGACTCGGGGCCGGATGGGTCCGGTCGATCGATTGGGGTCCGGATGGGGTCCGGCCGATCGATGGGGGTCCGGATGGGGCCCGGTCGATCAAAATCGGATCCGGATGGGGCTGGATTCGGATGGGTCCGGTCAATCGGCCCGGGTCCAGATGGGGTCCGGTCGATCGATTCGGATCCGGATGGGGCTGGATTCGGATGGGTTCGACCGATCTGATCCGGATGGGTCCGGTCGATCGATGGGGGTCCAGATGGGGCCCGGTCGATCGAAATCGGATCCGGATGGGGCTGGATTCGGATGGGTCCGGTCGGTCGATTTGTGTCCGAATGGGGCCCGGTCGATCGATCCGGATCCAGATCCGGATGGGGCTGGATTTGGATGGGTCCGGACGATCGGCCCGGGTCCGGATGGGGTCCGGTCGATCGATTCGGATCCGGATGGGGCTGGATTCGGATGGGTTCGATCGATCCGATCCGGATGGGTCCGGTCGATCGATTGGGGTCCGGATGGGGCCCGGACGATCGATTCGGATCCGGATGGGGCTGGATTCGGATGGGTCCGGACGATCGGCCCGGGTCCGGATGGGGTCCGATCGATCGATTCGGATCCGGATGCGGTCGGATTCGGATGGGTTCGATCGATCGATCCGGATGGGTCCAGTCGATCGACCCGGGGCCGGATGGGTCCGGTCGATCGATTGGGGTCCGGATGAGGTCCGGCCGATCGATGGGGGTCCGGATGGGGCCCGGTCGATCAAAATCGGATCCGGATGGGGCTGGATTCGGATGGGTCCGGTCGATCGATTTGGGTCGGAATGGGGCCCCGTCGATCGATCCGGATCCGGATGGGGCTGGATTCGGATGGGTCCGGACAATCGGCCCGGGTCCAGATGGGGTCCGGTCAATCGATTCGGATCCAGATGGGGCTGGACTCGGATGGGTTCGACCGATCTGATCCGGATGGGTCCGGTCGATTGATGGGGGTCCAGATGGGGCCCAGTCGATCGAAATCGGATCCGGATGGGGCTGGATTCGGATGGGTCCGGTCGGTCGATTTGTGTCCGAATGGGGCCCGGTCGATCGATCCGGATCCGGATCCGGATGGGGCTGGATTTGGATGGTCCGGACGATCGGCCCGGGTCCGGATGGGGTCCGGTCGATCGATTCGGATCCGGATGGGGCTGGATTCGGATGGGTTCGATCGATCCGATCCGGATGGGTCCGGTCGATCGATTGGGGTCCGGATGGGGCCCGGTCGATCGATTCGGATCCGGATGGGGCTGGATTCGGATGGGTCCGGTCGATCGATTCGGGTCTGAATGGGGCCCAGTCGATCGATCCGGATCCGGATGGGGCTGGATTTGGATGGGTCCGGACGAACGGCCCGGGTCCGGATGGGGTCCGATCGATCGATTCGGATCCGGATGCGGTCGGATTCGGATGGGTTCGATCAATCGATCCGGATGGGTCCAGTCGATCGACCCGGGGCCGGATGGGTCCGGTCGATCGATTGGGGTCCGGATGAGGTCCGGCCGATCGATGGGGGTCCGGATGGGGCTGGATTCGGATGGGTCCGGTCGATCGATTTGGGTCCGAATGGGGCCCCGTCGATCGATCCGGATCCGGATGGGGCTGGATTCGGATGGGTCCGGACGATCGGCCCGGGTCCGGATGGGGTCCGATCGATCGATTCGGATCCGGATGCGGTCGGATTCGGATGGGTTCGATCGATCGATCCGGATGGGTCCAGTCGATCGACCCGGGGCCGGATGGGTCCGGTCGATCGATTGGGGTCCGGATGGGGTCCGGCCGATCGATGGGGGTCCGGATGGGGCCCGGTCGATCAAAATCGGATGCGGATGGGGCTGGATTCGGATGGGTCTGGTCGATCGATTTGGGTCCGAATGGGGCCCGGTCGATCGATCCGGATCCGAATGGGGCTGGATTCGGATGGGTCCGGACAATCGGGACCGGGTCCAGATGGGGTCCGGTCGATCGATTCGGATCCGGATGGGGCTGGATTCGGATGGGTTCGACTGATCTGATCTGCATGGGTCCGGTCGATCGATGGGGGTCCAGATGGGGCCCGGTCGATCAAAATCGGATCCGGATGGGGCTGGATTCTGATGGGTCCGGTCGGTCAATTTGTGTCCGAATGGGGCCCGGTCGATCGATCCGGATCCGGATCCGGATGGGGCTGGATTTGGATGGGTCCGGACGATCGGCCCGGGTCCGGATGGGGTCCGGTCGATCGATTCGGATCCGGATGGGGCTGGATTCGGATGGGTTCGATCGATCCGATCCGGATGGGTGCGGTCGATCGATTCGGGTCCGGATGGGGCCCGGTCGATCGATTCGGATCCGGATGGGGCTGGATTCGGATGGGTCCGGTCGATCGATTCGGGTCTGAATGGGGCCCAGTCGATCGATCCGGATCCGGATGGGGCTGGATTCGGATGGGTCCGGACGAACGGCCCGGGTCCGGATGGGGTCCGATCGATCGATTCGGATCCGGATGCGGTCGGATTCGGATGGGTTCGATCAATCGATCCGGATGGGTCCAGTCGATCGACCCGGGGCCGGATGGGTCCGGTCGATCGATTGGGGTCCGGATGAGGTCCGGCCGATCGATGGGGGTCCGGATGGGGCTGGATTCGGATGGGTCCGGTCGATCGATTTGGGTCCGAATGGGGCCCCGTCGATCGATCCGGATCCGGATGGGGCTGGATTCGGATGGGTCCGGACAATCGGCCCGGGTCCAGATGGGGTCCGGTCGATCGATTCGGTTCCAGATGGGGCTGGATTCGGATGGGTTCGACCGATCTGATCCGGATGGGTCCGGTCGATCGATGGGGTTCCAGATGCGGCCCGGTCGTTCGAAATCGGATCCGGATGGGGCTGGATTCGGATGGGTCCGGTCGGTCGATTTGTGTCCGAATGGGGCCCGGTCGATCGATCCGGATCCGGATCCGGATGGGGCTGGATTTGGATGGGTCCGGACGATCGGCCCGGGTCCGGATGGGGTCCGGTCGATCGATTCGGATCCGGATGGGGCTGGATTCGGATGGGTTCGATCGATCCGATCCGGATGGGTCCGGTCGATCGATTGGGGTCCGGATGGGGCCCGGTTGATCGATTCGGATCCGGATGGGGCTGGATTCGGATGGGTCCGATCGATCGATTCGGGTCTGAATGGGGCCCAGTCGATCGATCCGGATCCGGATGGGGCTGGATTCGGATGGGTCCGGACGATCGGCCCGGGTCCGGATGGGGTCCGATCGATCGATTCGGATCCGGATGCGGTCGGATTCGGATGGGTTCGATCGATCGATCCGGATGGGTCCAGTCGATCGACCCGGGGCCGGATGGGTCCGGTCGATCGATTGGGGTCCGGATGGGGTCCGGCCGAACGATGGGGGTCCGGATGGGGCCCGGTCGATCAAAATCGGATCCGGATGGGGCTGGATTCGGATGGGTCCGGTCGATCGATTTGGGTCCGAATGGGGCCCCATCGATCGATCCGGATCCGGATGGGGCTGGATTCGGATGGGTCCGGACAATCGGCCCGGGTCCAGATGGGGTCCGGTCGATCGATTCGGATCCGGATGGGGCTGGATTCGGATGGGTTTGACTGATCTGATCTGGATGGGTCCGGTCGATCGATGGGGGTCCGGATGGGGCCCGGTCGATCGAAATCGGATCCGGATGGGGCTGGATTCGGATGGGTCCGGTCGATCGATTTGGGTCCGAATGGGGCCCGGTCGATTGATCCGGATCCGGATGGGGCTGGAGCCGGATGGGTCCGGACGATCGGCCCGGGTCCAGATGGGGTCTGGTCGATCAATTCGGATCCGGATGGGGCTGGATTCGGATGGGTTCGATCGATCCGATCCGGATGGGTCCGGTCGATCGATTCGGGTCCGGATGGGGCCCGGTCGATCGATTCGGATCCGGATGGGGCTGGATTCGGATGGGTTCGACCGATCCGATCTGGATGGGTCCGGTCGATTGATTGGGGTCCGGATGGGCCCGGTCCATAGATTCGGATCCGGATGGGGCTGGATTCGGATGGGTCCGGGCGATCGATTCGGGTCTGAATGGGGCCCAGTCGATCGATCCGGATCCGGATGGGGCTGGATTTGGATGGGTCCGGACGATCGGCCCGGGTCCGGATGGGGTCCGATCGATCGATTCGGATCCAGATTCGGTCGGATTCGGATGGGTTCGATCGATCGATCCGGATGGGTCCAGTTGATCGACCCTAGGCCGGATGGGTCCGGTCGATCGATGGGGGTCCGGATGGGGCCCGGTCGATCGAAATCGGATCCGGATGGGGCTGGATTCGGATGGGTCCGGTCGATCGATTTGGGTCCGAATGGGGCCCGGTCGATCGATCCGGATCCGGATGGGGCTGGATTTGGATGGGTCCGGACGATCGGCCCGGGTCCGGATGGGGTCCGGTCGATCGATTCGGATCCGGATGGGTTCGATCGATGGATACGGATGGGTTCGGTCGATGGATCCGGATGGGTTTGGTCGATCGATCGGCCCGGGTCCGGATGGGTCCGGTCGATCGACCCGAGTCCGGATGGGGCTGGATCCGGATGGGTTCGGTCGATCGGCCCCGGTCCGGAGGGGGTCCGGTCGATCGATTCGGATCTGGATGGGGCTGGATTCGGATGGGCTCGATCGATCGGCCCGGGTCCGGATGGGTTCTGTCGATCGATCCGGATGGGTTCGATCGATGGATCCGGATGGGGCTGGATTCCGATGGGTCCGGTCGATCGACAAGGATCCGTTTGGGCCCGGTCGATTGGATCCGCATGGGCTCGATCGATGTGTCCGGATGGGTTCGATCGACGGATCCGGATGGGTTTGTCCGACCGATCCGCACGATCGATGGATCCGGATGGGCTCGGTCGATCGACCCGGATGGGTTCGGTCGATCGACCCGGATGGGTTCGGTCGATGGATCCGGATGGGCTTGGTCCATCGATCTGGGTGGGTTCGATCGATGGAATCCGGATGGGTTCCATTGATGGATCCGGATGGGCCCGATCCATGGATCCGGATGGGCTCGGTCGACCGATCCGGATGGGCTCGTTCGATCGATCCGGATGGGTTGGATCGCTGGAACTTGATGGGCTCGATGGTTTGATCCCGATGGATTTGATCGATTGATCCGGATGGGCTCGACGGTTGGATCCGGATGGGTTCGATGGTTGGAGCGGGATGGGCTCGGTCGATTGATCCAGATGGGCTCGACGGTCCGATCCAAGTGGGCTCGATCGATCGAACCGGACGGGCTCGACGGTCGGATCCGGATGGGTTCGGTCGATGGGTTGGGATGAGTTCGGTCGATCGACCCAGATGGGTCTCCGGATGGGTTCGATCGATGGATCCGGATGGGCTCGATCCATCGATCCGGATGGGGTCGATCGATGGATCCAGATGGTTTCGTTGGTTCGATCCGGATGGGTTCGGTCAGTCGACCCGAATGGGTTTGATGGTCAGATCCGGATGGGTTCGATCGATGGATCCGGATGGGTTCGATCGGGCGAACCCGATGGGCTTGCCCCTTGGGTGCTCGCCTTGCCTTGTACTAGGTCGTGCGGTGCCCTGGGGGAAAAAAAGGCATCCGATCCATCCGGTCATATCCGGATGCTCGTTGGCTCTTGGTTGGTGTGGTGCCTCGAAAGGGCTCACACCCGCCCTAGAGCCCTTTTTGCCCGGTTGGAAAGTGACTACAGCGGAAGGGCTTGTGGGCTCTAGGGTGGTGTGGTGCCTCGAAAGGGCTCACACCCGCCCTAGAGCCCTTTTTTTCCCGGTTGGAAATTGACCACACCGGAAGGGCTTGTGGGCTCTAGGGTGTTGTCGTGCCTTGAAAGGGCTCACACCCGCCCTGGAGCCCTTTTTGCCCGGTTGGAATTCGATTACACGGGAAGCCTGTGAGCACTAGGGTTGGATGAACCCATGGGCCGATGCAGATCCGCCCTAGGGGTAAAGAAACTGAGGGGGGATGGTCCCAAGGGTTGGACGAAACCATGGGCCGGTTTGAATCCGCCCTCGGGGTCAAATGAACTGGCTGGGGGGTCAAATAACCGAGGGGGGATGGGCTCTTGAATTGGATGAACCCATGGGCCGGTTCAAATCCGCCCTTGGGGTTGAATGAACCGGCTGGGGGGTCAAATAACCGAGAGGGGATGGGCTCTTGGGTTGGACGAACCCATGGGCCGGTTCAAATCCGCCCTTGGGGTCAAATGAACCGGGTGGGGAGTCAAATAACCGAATGGGGATGGTCCCAAGGGTTGGATGAACCCATGGGCCGGTTCAAATCCGCCCTTGGGGTCAAATGAACCGGATGGGAGGTAAAAAAAACCGTGGGGGGATTGTCCCAAGGGTTGGATGAACCCATGGGCCGGTTCAAATCCGCCCTTGGGGTCAAATGAACCGGCTGGGGGGTCCCAAGGGTCAATCTTTGTTAGTATTAAGGACGGAGTCTAGGTGAACTTAGGAGCTAGAATTACTCAAAATATAAATCCTAAATTCTGGACAGAAAAGTTGTCTTCACAAGAAACAACGTCGACAAAAACCTAGCCGTTGGAATGTCGCGAAACTTGGATATGTTGTAGCTCTTAATCTTAGCTACCGTTCCCAATTCAAATCACGTTGATTGATGAAGTATTCGTGACGCTATGGCTTTCGACGCATTAGGGGGTAAGCTGTAGGAGGAGAACTTAACTCAATCTCAAAAAGTTCAATCAAAGTTCAAGAATCTCACAAGGAATCAGAGGAGCAAGAGAATGGTTGGGATAGAAGAGAGGGATGAGAGAGAAGGTCCCAAGAGAGTCCCCAACCAAGGAAACCCCATAAGCACAAAGATTCCCCCCCTATAGGAACCCCAACTTTGACATTTGTCCCTTCCCAACCAATCCAACCAAGTTGGCCACCCTTGCCAACCTAGCTTGGTTGTTCCCAACCAATTTGCAGCTGTTACAGTAGAGTGACGAATTTCCCCAACCCCAAAGGGTCCCAACTCCATATAGAGTCACCCCACAACTTCACTTTGTAACCGCCGCAATTGTAACGCAAGCTCATGAACTTTGAATCTTCATAGCTTTCGCGTTCTTGCTCCGATTGAAGCGATTCTTGTTGCGTCGGAAAGATCTTCTCAAGATCTATCCTCACAAATACCTGCTCAGACAGAATAACACAAAACACATTCCCAAACTCCAGAACACACACCACACAAATTCTTTCACACACAGTCAAACCATACATGCGAATTGAAACAAGGGATGGGAGGCAGACAGAATGTGATAGCATATGATGACATCACACAACAATCTCCCCCTCTGGCTGCCAACCATCATCCACCATACCAACATCTCAAGCATGCATACTCAATGCACACTCATCCCAGCAAGCTTCATGCCCTTCCAATGATCCGCCTCCGCCAGACGCTTGGTGAAAATATCTGCTGCCTGCTGATGGGTCTTCACTATCTCCAGCCGCACCTCCTTATCAAGGAATCTCCTCACCCAGTGCCACTTAGGCCTTATGTGTTTTGTCAGCCCATGCAGACAAGCATTCTTGGCGAGCTTCACGGCAGACTCATTGTTACAGAAGATCACCGTCGGCTCCTTCTGACCAACTCCCAACTCCTCCAGCAAGCGCCTGAGCCACACCACTTCCTTGGCCCCATGGTGTAAGGCCATGTACTCAGTCTCACATGAGGTCAATCCCACCTCATTCTGCTTCTTGCTGCGCCAGCTCACAGCACCACCTCCTAGCAAGCACACATAACCCCCAATGCTGGTGCCATCCGCTTTCACTGAGTTGAAGCTAGCGTCAGTATAGCAACTCAAGAGCATCTCTCCACTCTTCACATCTGCAGCACCTCTCTGCAACCGCTGCCTCACTCCACTGTACTCCAATCCCACTGATGCCGTAGCGCTCACATAGCGGACCAACCTCTTGGCCGCTTCCAGCTGCTCATGACTAGGGCGTGAGACCACACTAGCCAACCGTGATGTAGCAAATGCAATGTTAGGCCGTGTATGATTTGCAGCATAATTCAGCGACCCAACCATCGAATGAAACAGCTTCCTGTCACTCTCACCCACTACCTCCTCATCAGCACATGGCTCCACAGTAAACCCCGAAGGTAGTGGTGTTGCTGGCTTTCCCCCATCTTGCAGCCCATACTTCTCAGCCAGCCCCTCACAGTACTTCCTCTGGTGCAACCTCAGCACACCCTTTTCCACATCTCTCTCCACGTGCATCCCCAAGTAGTACTTCACCTCACCCATCTTGGAGCACTTGAACTGCATCTCCAGCATCTGCTCTGCGCTGTCCAGCAAAGCAGTTGATGCAGAGAAGGATATCATCCACATACACCAGGAGCATGAGGATTTCATCCTTCTCCTGTAGCAGGAACAGGCTGGGGTCACACTCACTCTTCTTGAAACCCCCAGCCAACAGCGCCTCCTCCAACTTGTGATACCATGCACGAGGCGCCTGCTTAAGGCCATAGATGGCCTTCTTCAGCCTGCAGACCCTGCCGCTCCCATCATCCAGCCCCTCTGGCTGCTTCATGTACACCTCCTCCAGAATGATCCCATTAAGAAAGGCAGTCACAATGTCCATCTGTCGTATCTTCCATCCCAGGAGTGCAGCTATCGCCAACAGCACCCTCAGTGTTGTTCCTTTCCCCACAGAAGCAAACACCTCATCATAGTCCTTCCCCTTTGTCTGCTGAAACCCCCGTGCCACAAGCCTAGACTTGTAGCGGGTCAGCTCCCCTTCAGGTCCATACTTGTGCCTGTAGATCATCTTGGAAGTGATTGCCTTCTTCCTAGGAGGCAAGTCACACAGGTCCCATGTCTCGTTCTCAATCAGGGACCCGAACTCCTCATCCTCACTCGCCTTCCACTTCTCCCCATTTGGTCCATTCAAGGCCTCCTCTCGAGTCTTGGGCTCAGGGATTGGTGCCCAGTAGCAGTGAGCGATCTCATCTTCCTCAATCTGCTCAACCACACTCCCAGCCTGCACCACATTCAGCTTGCCTCTTCCCCCATAGGTCAGCCTCACAGGAGGGTGCACATCCCTCCTAGGTCGCTCAGGCGGGTGTGGAACTTGAGGTGGAGACTCATACTGCTGCTGCTGCTGCTCCACTTCAGCTGCTCCCCTTTCTTCAGTCACCCCAGACATCTCCTCCGGACACACTGCAACCTCCACCTGCCTTGCAGGCTGCTGCAACTCATCTGCCTCCACAATGAGTGGTGTAGATGGAAGCTTCTGTTGCTGCTGCTTCCATTGCTTGTAGTACAGGGACTCAAGAAACTTCACATCCCTTGACACTGTCAGCTTCTGGGTGGTCAAGTCCCATAGCAGCCATCCCTTGTGATCCTTTGCAATCCCCAAGTGCACACCCCATCTTCCAGAAGCCTCCAACTTCCCCCTTTTCTCCTTAGGCACATGAAACACCACCATGCACCCAAATGCCCTCAGCATGTTCACAGCTGGAGCACTCCCATACCACTTGGTATATGGGACCCACTCCTTATCCCCAAATGTAGCCAGCACCCTGTTCTTCACAAGGACGACCTGCCTCAGTGCAGACACCCAAAACGGATCAGGCAGCCCTGCACGCCCAAGGAGAGTGCGTGCCCCCTCCTGCAGGGTCCTGTTGAACCTCTCAGCCATGCCATTCTACTGCGGGTTGTAGGGCATTGTCAGTTGATGCTGGATTCCCTTCCTCTTCAACTCCCCCTCAAAATCAGCTCCAATGAACTCCCCACCATTGTCACTGCGGATCACCTTCACCTTGTGTCCGCATTCCCTCTGAGCTCTAGGCATCCACTCCTTAAGGACAGCCGCTGCCACCTCCCCCTTGCTCTTCAAAGGGTAAACCCACACTGCCCGAGTGTGGTCATCCACAATTGTCAAGAAATAGCGGCTGCCTGAGAGGGAAAGGGCTCTTGTGGGCCCCACCACATCCATGTGCAAGTGCGAGTGGGGTCTTGGCTGGTCCTGTAGTGCTGTTGAAGGGGAACTTGGAGAACTTGGTCTCCAAGCATGTAGGGCAGCTCCCAATCTCCTTCACTCCCCCTTTCACCTCCAAGCCCTTCAGGCTCCCATCCTTCACCAACTTCTGCAGCATAGGGAAGTTCACATGACACAGCCTCTCATGCCATGTCTCCCAATCGGCCTCACCACTCCTTGATGAAGCCTTAGCCCATGCCGCGCTCGCATCCACACCAGCAAGCACCTCGCCATGTGTCAGCTGCTTCTGCACTTTCTTGACTGCCTGCAGGACCCCATCAGTTGGTGTAGTTGCATCTCCTCCTCCTGTTGCCTTTGCCGCTGCTGCCGTTGCTGCTGTTGGAGTCTTCCCATTCCAAGGGATGATGGGCAGCTGCCACAGGTCCTTGATGCAGCTGGTCTCCTCTTCCAGACTCCACAACACCTTCTTCCCAAGCTTAGCACGGCAGCTGGTTGGTCCAAAGGTCACTTCGGCCTTACTCTTCTGCAGTCGCCGCACAGAGAGAAGGTTAGCAGACAAACCTTCAACCAGCAGAACATTCCCAAGCCCCACAAGCTCCCCATTAGCTCCCTTAACCCTGGCATTCCCAATACGAATGACAGGGAGCAAAGCACCTGACGCTGCTGCCACATACTTAATCTTCCCAGAGGGTTTTACCTCATCAAGCAAATCTGCCCGTGGGGTCATGTGACTGGTGCAACCCGAATCAATCACCCAGTGCGTGAGAGGGTGCATCACAACCTTTCCCACAGATCCCACATCACCCTCATGCTCATGCACATCCTCAACCATGAGATACATCCCAGGAGAGGCGTTACCTTGTGCACCTGAGCCTTGTGCACCTGAGACTTGCACAGCGCCACCTTGTGCGCGTTCACCACTGGGCGGCTTCATGCCTGGAGGTGCCCATCCCTCCGGCCTGCTGAAGCACTTGAACCAAGGATGCCCGACCTTCTTGCAGTACCAGCAGGTGCCCTCCATTCTGGTACTCCCCCTGCCACCGGAGCTCCCATGCCCCTCATTATAGTCACCTCGGCCTCTACCTCTGCCAAAGCTCCTCCCACGGCCTCGGCCTCTCCAACCCCCTCTTCCTCTGCCGCACCCTGCAGCTCCATACCCCTCAGCAGTCTTAGTGGAAGCACCACCTCCCACATGGCGTCTGCGGAAGTCCTCCTGCAGAATCTGCTGCCTTAGCCACTCAGGTGTCCATTGATCTTGCTGAGAGTTGAGGGTGGGGATGAGGTTGTCCCAAGAGTTGTCCAACACCGAGATGATCTTAGTGCACTGCTGCAGCTGAGATACACTGCTGCCCGCTGCTGCCATCCTTGCATAGGTATCCTTGATCTTGTCAAGGACCGGCTTCACATCGTCCCCTGGTCGCATGGAGATGGCAGCAAGTTCCTTCTCGAGCACGATCACCATCGGAAGAGTGTTGGGCTGAATCACATCGCGTAGTAGTTTCCACGCCCTTGGACCCGAATCATCCGCTTCCACAAGATCCTTGATGTGCTCGAACATCTCCTTGTTGACTGATTGAAGGATGAGGTCGAAAAGCACCGTGCTTTTCTCAATCCACCGTTCACGTGCTTCGCCTTCGTCCGGTATCTTCTCCTCCCCAACAACAATCTTCAGTAGCTTGTAGCGTTTGAAGGCACTCCTCATGCGCCCGCTCCATTCCTCATAGTTGGAGCCATCCAAAGCTTCAACTTTTGATGGTGGCGGCTTACTTGTCTTCTCAGGTACAGCTCCTCTTCCATTAGCATCTCCTCCTCTCTCATTCATCTTCTCCTTGAGAAATGACAAATTTCAGCTCCCCTTTTCTGTCCACACTCAGCTCCCTCGATATTTTCACAAGTATTGGCGTCCACGAAATTTCGGCAGAGTTTCCCCTTAGCGGAAGACACATCCAACCTTTAGAACACCACTTAGGCACACCCACAGGCCATGGTGGGTCTACAAGGGTCTTCAAACTTCTGTAGACTCTTCTCAATGTCCTCAATATCGCTCTGATACCACTTGTTAGTATTAAGGACGGAGTCTAGGTGAACTTAGGAGCTAGAATTACTCAAAATATAAATCCGAAATTCTGGACAGAAAAGTTGTCTTCACAAGAAACAACGTCGACAAAAACCTAGCCGTTGGAATGTCGCGAAACTTGGATATGTTGTAGCTCTTAATCTTAGCTACCGTTCCCAATTCAAATCACGTTGATTGATGAAGTATTCGTGACGCTATGGCTTTCGACGCATTAGGGGGTAAGCTGTAGGAGGAGAACTTAACTCAATCTCAAAAAGTTCAATCAAAGTTCAAGAATCTCACAAGGAATCAGAGGAGCAAGAGAATGGTTGGGATAGAAGAGAGGGATGAGAGAGAAGGTCCCAAGAGAGTCCCCAACCAAGGAAACCCCATAAGCACAAAGATTCCCCCCCTATAGGAACCCCAACTTTGACATTTGTCCCTTCCCAACCAATCCAACCAAGTTGGCCACCCTTGCCAACCTAGCTTGGTTGTTCCCAACCAATTTGCAGCTGTTACAGTAGAGTGACAAATTTCCCCAACCCCAAAGGGTCCCAACTCCATATAGAGTCACCCCACAACTTCACTTTGTAACCGCCGCAATTGTAACGCAAGCTCATGAACTTTGAATCTTCATAGCTTTCGCGTTCTTGCTCCGATTGAAGCGATTCTTGTTGCGTCGGAAAGATCTTCTCAAGATCTATCCTCACAAATACCTGCTCAGACAGAATAACACAAAACACATTCCCAAACTCCAGAACACACACCACACAAATTCTTTCACACACAGTCAAACCATACATGCGAATTGAAACAAGGGATGGGAGGCAGACAGAATGTGATAGCATATGATGACATCACACAACAATCTTGGCATCCCATGAATGCATAAACAGGTTGCCCCAAACGATGGTAACCCAGCGTAATCCAGGCCATAGGCCTATTAATACCCCAGCAAAGGGGTATTTTTCCTCTCCCCATCATTCAGCCATGTGTTTTCGGATAGCCCCAAACGACGGTAACCCAACGTAATCCAGGTCATAGGCCTAGGAATACCCAAGGGAAGTGGTATTTTTCCTCTCCCCATCATTTCGCCATATGTTTTTGGATTGCCCCAAACGACGGTAACCCAACGTAATCCAGGTCATAGGCCTAGGAATACCCTAGGGAAGTGGTATTTTTCCTCTCCCCATCATTTGGCCATATGTTTTCGGATTGCCCCAAACGACGGTAACCCAACGTAATCCAGGTCATAGGCCTAGGAATACTCTAGGGATGGGGCATTCTACCACTCCCCATCACTTGGGTTTCGGTTCTTGATCGCCCCAAACAATCGTAACCCAACGCAATGCAGGCCATTGGCATAGGAATACCCTACCTAGGCTTTGACCTCGATGGTTCGATCGATCCGGACCCGAATGGGTTCGATCGATCCGGGGTGGGTTCGATATGAATGGGGCCGGTGAATCCGGATCCGGATGGGTTCGATCCAAATGGGTTCGATCGATCCGGATCCGAATGGGTTCGATCGATCCGCACTCGGATGGGTTCGATCCAAATGGGTTCGATCGACTCGGATCCGTATCGATTCCATCCGAATCGGTTCGATCGAACCGGATCCGGATGGGTTCGATCGATCCAGATACGGATGGGTTCGATAAGGATGGGTTCGATCCGAATGGTTTCGATCGACTCGGATCCGGATGGGTTCGATCCGAATGGGTTCGATCGACTCGGATCCGGATTGGTTCGATCGACTCGGATCCAGATCGATTCCATCCGAATGGGTTCGATCGAACCGGATCCGGATGGGTTCGATCGATCCGGATCCGGATGGGTTCGATAAGGATGGGTTCGATCCGAATGGGTTCGATCGACTCGGATCCGGATGGGTTCGATCGAGTCGGATCCGGATGGGCTTGGGTCCAAAAGGGTTCATTTGATCCGGATCCGGACGGATCCGATCGATCCGGACCCGGCTGGGATCGATCCGAATGGGTTCGATTGACTCAGATCCGGATGGGTTCGATAAGGATGGGTTCTATCCGAATGGGTTCGATCGACTCGGATCCGGATGGGTTCGATCGATCCGGATCCGGATGGGTTCCATCCGAATGGGTTCCATTGATCCGGATCCGGATCCGGATGGGTTTTATCCACACGAGTTCGATCGATCCAGATCCGGATCGGCTCGATAAGGATGGGTTCGATCGACTCGGATCCGAATGGGTTCGATCGATCCAGATCCGGATGGGTTCCATCCGAATGTGTTCGATCGAACCCATCCGGGGTCCGATCCGGATGGATTCCATCACTTGGGTTCCGGGGACTTGATTGCCCCAAACGACGGTAACCCAACGTAATCCAGGTCATTGGCCTAGGAATACAGGAGGGGAGGGGTGCTCCACCTCTCCCCAACACTTGGCATGGGCCATCCGATTGCCCCAAACGACGGTAACCCAACGTAATCCAGGTCATTGGCCTAAGTATACGAGGGGGGAGGGGTGCTCCACCTCTCCCCAACCCTTGGCATGGGCCATCCGATTGCCCCAAACGACGGTAACCCAACGTAATCCAAGTCATTGGCCTAAGAATACCGGAGGGGAGGGGTGCTCTACCTCTCCCCAACCCTTGGCTTGGGGCATTCGGTTGCCCCAAACGACGGTAAGCCAACGTAATCGGGGTCATTGGCCTAAGAATACCGGAGGGGAGGGGTGCTTTACCTCTCCCCAACCCCTGGCATGGGCGATTGGATTGCCCCAAACGACGGTAACCCAACGTAATCTAGGTGGTTGGCCTAAGAATGCCGGAGGGGAGGGGTGCTCTACCTCTCCCCAACCCCTGGCATGGTGGAATCGATTGCCCCAAACGACGGTAAGCCAACGTAATCGAGGTGGTTTGCCTAAGAATACCGGAGGGAAGGGGTGCTCTACCTCTCCCCGACCCCTGGCATGGGTCATACGGTTGCCCCAAATGACGGTAACCCAACGTAATCCAGGTCACTGGCCTAAGAATACCTGAGGGGAGGGGTGCTCTATCTTTCCCCAACCCTTGGCATGGGCCATCCGATTGCCCCAAACGACGGTAACCCAACGTAATCCAGGTCATTGGCCTAAGAATACAGGAGGGGAGGGGTGCTCTACCTCTCCCCAACCCTTGGCATGTGGGAATAGATTGCCCCAAATGACGGTAAGCCAACGTAATCCAGGTCACTGGCCTAAGAACAACAAAGGGGAGGAGTGCTCTACCTCTCCCCAACCCTTGCCATGGGGAAATCGATTGCCCCAAATGATGGTAAGCCAACGTAATCCAGGTCACTAGCCTAAGAACAATGGAGGGGAGGAGTGCTCTACCTCTCCCCAACCCTTGCCACGGGGAAATCGATTGCCCCAAACGACGGTAAGCCAACGTAATCCAGGTCATTGGCCTAAGAATACTGGGCGGGAGGGGTGCTCCACCTCTCCCCAACCCTTGGCATTTGGGAATCGATTGCGCCAAACGATGGTAAGCCAACGTAATCCAGGTCATTAGCCTAAGAATCCCTGGGAGGAGGGGTGCTCTACCTCTCCCCAACCCTTGGCATGTGGGAATAGATTGCCTCAAACGACGGTAAGCCAACGTAATCCGGGTGGTTGGCCTAAGAATACTCGGGGGAAGGGGTTCTCTACCTCTCCCCGACCCTTGGCACGGGGCAGTTGATTGCCTCAAACGATGGTAACCCAACGTAATCCATGTGGTTAGCCTAAGAATGTTAGGGGGAAGTGGCTTTTCACCTCTTCTCACTAATCTTTGTGGAGGACGGTTGCTTAAAAAGTAGGTAAGCCAAGGTAATCCGAGGCCTTTCCATAGTAATAATTCGGGGAAAAGAGAACTGGCCCTCAAACCACAAGTAAGGCGGATTACCTAGGTATGAAGTCGAGCCTGTCATGAGGTCCTATGAGGCACCGGCCCAGGCCACGGAGGGCGGCACTCTGTGATCCGGGGGGGAGCGTCCCGTGAGCCGTGCGCATGGACTCTCTTCGGAGGGTTGGCGCGCACAGACCCCAGCGGAGGGGCCGGGGAGCTCTCCAGGTGCGGAGGATCACCTGGTAAAATGGGGAGAGGAGGAACTGGCTCTCGAACCACAAGCAAGGCGGATTACCTATGTATGAAGTCGAGCTTGTCATGAGGTCCTATGAGGCACCAGCCCGGGCCACGGAGGGTGGCACTCTGTGATCCGGGGGGGAGCGTCCCGTGAGACGTGCGCATGGACGCTCTTCGAAGGGTTGGTGTGCACAGACCCCAGTGGAGGGGGCGGCAAGCTCTCCAGGTGCGGAGGATCACCTGGTAAAATAGGGGGAGGAGGAACTGGCCCTCGAACCACAAGCAAGGTGGAATACCCAAGGAGGATGGTTACTCTTTGGGTCCGCTCGGTCCCTACAAACTTCTTGACACTGGTAATATGCTGTCGGTTTCGTATCCCAATCCGCCTATGGCTAGGTGGCCCCCACTCGTTGCGAGGCGGCGTCATTGACCCTTGGGTTGGGGAGGGTAGGATTCAGGCCCATTGGAACCAGGGAAAAAGAGGAGGACCCAATCGGAGCACTCCCTACAAGGGGTCTGAACCAAATGGGTGCTCAACCAATGCCATAAAGAAGTTGATGTCGGTGCAAGTTGCAAAACTCATATGCAGTGGTTGAGACGGTCAACTCTTTTTCAGGGGGAAAGCTCGAAGCTCACTTGAGGCCAAAAACCTGGAAAGAGACCCATGTTGACTGTGGACGATCTCGGTCGGATGCAGGACGATGCACGGGTCCCTGAACATGTTAGTAGGTCAAGGACGGTGTGTTATAGAGTTTTCTTAACGTGGAATGACAATTGGAAGCATGGTGATGCCACGTGGGAGTTAATGCTTTCGATCGCAATCGATCGTAGCCGTCGAATATTGGTAGAATTACCCAGATAACCAAATGGGCAGTAGGGATACTACCGCACCACAGCTTCCTTGTCTCCAGCGAATCCTTCGCCGATAATTACAAACCCCGTCGTCGTGTATTGTATCCGCACAGTAACACTACGATATTCACGCGGCTGCAAGTTGGCAAGCCGAATCTTCTGCATAGCGCCAAACTTGTCCGTAGTTCCACAACTGTAGATCGCTCGTTTAATTCCACATGAGTCGTGACACTCGCAGAAACACGCGTCCGTATTTCGCAAAGTCAACGAACTCCAGCCATTCGTCAAGTGCGAGGTCATTCGCGTTGCGACACATGCAAGAACACGCGTCTGTGTCTAACGAAAGTCAGCGAAGTCCATCAGCTCAAGGACGAACTCTCAATCAGTCCTGTAACCGTAGTCGATTTCGCCTCAGGCGGTCAATATAAACGCACCTTCAACTTTCGCAAACTCCTGCGAAATTCCTGAAATGCCAACTCGAATCTGTCTGTCGATTCAGTCTGTCAAACAGCATCTGTCCGTCGATGCTCCTGCAGCGGATTCCACTTGTCAAGGGGAAATCCAAAAAAAACAACTGCTGCGCAGATGCTCTCTCCCCCCTCCATGAAAAGAAAAGGGAAAGTACATCGGCGCTAAGTATTAGGGTCCCCGCTATTACGTACGGTCAGTGGAACGCTATAGACAATCAGAATTAGTGAGTTCGTCACACGGCTAGTCAGTCGGGTTCCACGGTTAGTCAGTGATTGCTGGTAAACATTTCTACGAATGGTCCGTAGACGTAACCCCCGCCCATTTTGGGCTGTTTTCCCACTTGCGGCAGCCCAACAACCAAACGACTGTAATAATTGCGAGGGGCGATATTTTTTTCGCGCCAGCCTGGCGCTGCACATTTCGCTCTCACTCCAACCCGCTTTTCCGACTGCAACAGTAACCCGAAGCTCCATTTATTGAATGCACTCCAGAGCAGAGGTGAATCCGCCGTGTGCCCGTACTCAGGTCAGCGCAAACGCTATCGTAGTTGGGCGAATTAATTAGTCTAATTCGCGGGCAACAGCTTTGCAGCTTACTTGAGGGATTCTCCTTCCCCTCCCTCAAAAAATCGTCTCTTCAAGAAATCTGCTCCAAACTGCAGCAAATTTCTTCAACAGCTGCTTCCACAAACAAAAAATACCCCCGTAGGCCGCTGTTCACCCAGCGCCCACGTTCGTCATCCTCAAAACAGTAGCGCGCACGTTCTTTTGAAAAACTCGCAGCTCCGTCGTTCTCGGCGACACATCCTCGCCGTTCGTATCGGACTCGAGCTCCGCGTACCGTCCGATCGTCGTCACAAAAATCTTTCGTTATTTTCGTTAACCTTCTTCTCGCGCCTCACACTGTACTGCGTCCGATTTTCACCAATCGTTCGCCTGTCCAGTAGCGCAGAAAATGTTTCGATCCACCAGCACAGAGTGATCCGCTGGCTCATCCTCCCTTATTCGTCAGGGAGCAGTCGATAGCATGTATCGTACTACCACCCGGTGGAGATGTTGAAGATCGGGCGACCCAGCCAAGTCAGTCGGAGGATCCGTTTGCCGCTGACTCTTAATTTTTCCCGGCTGTTATCCAGTCGTTCTCCTTCTCTGCTACAGCTCTTCGTCGTTGACTTTTAGTAGAGACCCGGCGATGACACTTAAACTCGATCCGAGGGTAGTTTCTGGTCGTCCTCCGTAGATCGTGGGGTATAAGTTCTGACCACGAAAATGGCTTCCTCTGCGGGGATCCAGACTCGCTGAGCTCGAAACTCCAGGGCAGACGAATTACACCTCCGGGCAGGCAGGTCACGCGAAACAATTTCGAGGTCAGTACTCCCCAAAAATCTTCCGTGCCTGAGCCCCACGTGTGCTGCCGTGCGATCCTTGGTCATGCCGAAAACTCCAACGCCATGTTGCTGAACAGTATCCGAAGTCCCGTCTTCACCGGCGTGTCGCATGCCGGAAACGCCGAGCCCTTGACATCAGCTACACTTCACCATGCAGCCACGTCTGCTATACGCGCTCCTGACGAACTCCATTTCACCTGGGAATATCCGCGAGCTTGTCGTCTCGTGACGAGCTCCTCGCTCCATTCGGACACCAAGCCGAATCGTCGTTGCTGCTTGCCGAAAATCCCGAAATTGCAAACGAAGCCACTTAACGATATGCGAAATGAGCAGCATACCGGAAACACTCTTCAAATTTTTCGCCATGTCAGGATGGACACAACCGCCCTCGAGGGGATGGCTCTCCTCCCCAAAAAAAAACAAGGGGCGACGAAATCGTCTTAGGGTTGCGGAGCTCTATTGCATTAAAAAAAAAGACAACAAAACTACTTGTGCTAGTATACTACAAAAAAAATAACCCATTCAAATTCATATTCTTTGTTTTATATAATTCAAATTATTAACATGTCATGACTGTCAAGTGTGGAAACCGCCACCTAGAGCTGGTTCTTCTATTTCCTGTTTTAGATTCTTATGTTACTTTTGTGTACTGTTTATTCTTACGCTACATATCTTACTTCATCTCGTTTCCGTTTTCGTTTTAGTATCGTCACTCTCGATACTGTGCGATGTGATTTCCCTGCTGGGTGGCGAAAGTTGCCACCTGGCAGGTTTTGTTTTTTTGCGCCTAGTCGCGAGGCTCGTCACGCGCGAAATTTCTGACCTATAATACTGTAGCCGTCCAGTAACGTCGAATTTGTTCTGCCACCCGTTCGGATTTTTTTTTTTCGTCAAAGCGCGCCTGGCTTCGTCAATGACGCGAATCACGAGGGCCTATTCTATATTTCCAGTTTCATTGAGTTTCACCGTTTATTTGGTTATGGAACTTGCAATACGCGAAACGATGAATTTTCGAACTTGTAGTCCCCGTAGTCAATGATGCAGCACGTGCAATGATCTAAAGATATAGAGTACGCCCTAATAAGTTCGAAAACTAATTCACAAATTGCAATCTAGCTGGGCAGTTTCTGATGGAAACGAGAAAATAGATGGAACTTCCTTCAGAGCTGCGAGAGCCTGGCCGTTCCACCCACATTCTCGAACTTTTCTTCCTCCTTCTCACACTCAATCTTTCTTCTTCCTCCATTCCTCGATCTCACAGCTTCCTCCTCACCTCCAGCAATTTTATTCTAGCGTTCTAGCCAAGGCCATCCCATAGTTGGGTAAAGTCCTCGTTTCTTTCTTAGCATGTCGTCAACCTCCTAGTTTGATAATCATACTAGCTTTTCCCTCCTTTCTTTCCCTAGGTCCCTCTCTTCTTATGTTCTTTGCTGTTTTCCTAACAAGTATACATCCTTTCACTTTTCCAATATCTCTCTAGGTCTCTAGGTGCTCTAGCTTGTTAAGGAACCACGGGACACATTTCAACTCTATTTCAAGGTACGGATTCTACCCTCTCGCCGTGCCCTTCTCCTCTTCTCTCGTCCATACCTTGTCTTCTTTCCGATTTCCTGTTTTCCCCTATTTCCCCATGCATTCATTCCCTGCCCCTTCCCATGGGGCTACATCCCACTTCGACCTAGATCTACAACGATTTATTGAGCTGCAGCCCATTTCGACTTCCGTTTCACCGTTTTTTGCAACCCTTTATTCTTACTTTCTTGTATGATTCTCTAATTTGTGTTCACTGACTGTTTCTTGCTTTATTTGTTGCCTTATTTCCCGATCCCCTTTGATTCCCATGGTATTATTGTATATTTGATCCATGATTCCAAGCATTCATGAAAGTTGAAAAGTGGCTTCGTAATGGGCTTCGGTTAAACGCCGTTCCTATTCCAAGCTGTCCGAATTGCATCGTTGCTTGCCAAAATTTTATTGCTTGCTGATGATTTTCTCTTCATGTATGTTGTTGGCCCAATAACATCCATTTACTACATGGATAGAACTGGAGATAATAAGTGCAATATATTTTTCTTGCTATTATGAAATTTATTATCCCACGGAGTGTTGTCGACATAATAGGCTTTCGACTTCCCCCACTTAGCTGGGGAAGTGATAGCCTATTTTTGTCAATGACAAAAATACGTCACGGGAAAAAATGGAAACAATGACAAACGTTTTATATTTAGGTATTGAACAATTTATTAGGCAAGGTTTTTTTTAGTTTTGATCATTTTTCCAAATCACAAACTTGAAAAAAAATTCCTTACAATCGATCGCAATAGGTTGCTCCGCAACCCAAAAACGTTATGCCCTCGGAAGCCCAGCGGGTGAGGAAAGTGGCTCTGATACCAAGTGTTATGAATGGGACTGCCGAGTAGCGCGGAGGGCAATGGCGAAACTGTGAACCAGTGAATGACAATAAAATGAAATAACACACAATATATAGAGAGCCTAGGGTGATCCTGCACGTAGGATCGGAAGGTTCGGGAAAAGTGTCGAAGGGCCCCGATGTGTCGTAGCGAGGTCCGGAAAGGCCCAGGAGGCTCGAACTGAAAGGTCTGGAACCCTGGCGATGGTTCGGGACTGTTCGAGTCGTACGCCCTGTAGCAAGCCACAGTAAGGAATTACTCATTCATTACAGTAGGTTTCCATAGACAGTATGAACCTCCTTGCCCCCATAGCCTCAGTGGGTAATGTATCAATCTCCCCTTCGTGTTGTGCCAGACTGCGACCCTCCTTGGCCCCCAATGTCTCCATTGTCAGAATAGCGCATGTGACACATGAGTGGGTATTGTACCCTCTAGGAACTTGTTGTGATATAATTCTTACTTAGCATTTCTGTAAGTCAATTATGTGTAGAAAGTGTCGAATCCAACTGTAGAATATAAGTCCGTAGGATGACGTCAGCAAATAGCGCTCATCATGGGGACAGTCGTTTCAGTCACGCGAACAGTCGCACCTCTTCATTGTCATTTAGGGCGCATAGCGCGATAGTGACGAACAGGTACATTAGCGAATAGGTACTTTTCCTAGAATTATAAATCCTTGTTATGTCTTTCCATTATTAACTTTTGATTACCCACAAGTTCACGCACTCAGGTGATTCAACCTTGACAATCATGTTTTTACAAGACTTCCGCTATCTTACTAGTCTACCATTCTAGTAAAGATCATGGACTAACACTTGAGGTTTTCCAAGTGTTTAGATTCTATACTTAGACCTGACAAATTATTACACAACTGACCTAGTTTAGCTGTAACAAATCTCACCTAACTAACATAGATATGTATATTTGTTGACATCCATCACCTCCTTGGTGTATGACACATGACTCACCAATATTCCTGTCAACAGCCAGCCAACAAGGAGCGGCTCATGCAGCTGCAGCAGCTGGTCTTGTAAAGAGGGGAACATCAAGGAGCAGTTTCCATTGCATGCTAGCATCATACAAGGTAGTCATTATCAAGATGAGTAGTTGAGTAAAATAGAAGGATACCGAGATATATAGACTAGGGGTTGTACCCTCTAAGGCACAATCCAGTATAGTCTATAGTAACTACATAAGTTACATTTGACACACCCCCTAGACTATATAGGGGCAGTGCCTCACAGGAGAAGAAGCAGCTCAGGGCGGCACTACTAGTCCAGCCTCTGAGGCAAGGGTCTAAAGACCACTCAAAGGAATACAGGCAAGGCAAGAGCAAGACCAGGGCGGCACTACTAGTCCAGCCACTAAGAGAGGCCACAAGGCCAGTCAGGGTAATATATATTGAAAAGGTTTGTACACAATCAAGGCCCTAGCAAGTGAGAAGCTACAGGAACAAGACCAAGCTGTACACAGTGCCGCTGATGATCTTTAGGCGCAAGCACCTTCGTAAAGATATCAGCTGTGTTGGCATCGGAGGCCAAGTCTACTACGCGGGCCTGGCGACACTGCTACAGCTCACGCAGGAGGAAGTACCGCAGCTGGATGTGCTTCGCTCTACCCTCGAGTCGCGGCTCCTAACACAGGAGGATCATGGCTCTGTTGTCAGCATACAGGACCGGGGCAGAGCTAGGCCGCTCACCTAAGTCAGTGAGCAAGAAGGTCAGCCAGCGGAGCTCCTGTGCCGCCATGGCACCGGCGTAGATCTCGGCCTCACAGTTGGACTGAGCAACAGATGAGGAGCGAGTAGCTCTCCACGAGACAGCACCTGAACCAAGGCTAAAGCCGTAGCCCTGTGAGGACCTAAGAGTCACAGAGTCGTCTGCCCACTAAGCGTCAGTGTGCCCAGTAAGGACCACTGGCCTATGCCCTCCAACCACTAACCCCATGCCCGATGTACTTGCAAGATAACGCAAAACCCTCTTAGCGGCAGACCAGTGCTGAGGTCGTTGTCTCCCTGTGGCCACAACGCGAGCCAGGATGCTGAGAGGGTATGCGAGATCTGGGCGAGTGCAAGTCATCAGGTACATGAGGCAACCCACCAGCTCTGCGTAAGGGCCACTGGGCTCCACCAACTCCTCAGGAACTAGAGCAGAGAGCCTGTGGTCTACAGACAGAGGGGTGGGCTGTGCAGAGGAGAAAAATCGACCGAACCTCTGAAGGACCTGGCGCTGCTCTGTCCCTGGAGATCTGCAAGCCAAGGTAATGGTGCAGTTCTCCAATGCAAGTGCAAGTGTGCCTCTTCAGCAGCTCTGCCTTCACGGAGGCCAGTGCGTCCCTGTCTGCAGTGGCGAAGACCAGGTCGTCTACGTAAACAAGGATGTAGAACGTAGTCTGGCCAGCACGAACAAAGAGCGAGGGGTCTGCAGAGGACGGAAAGAACTGTAGGTCAGCAAGGGTAGCACGCAGCGTGTCGTGCCACTCACGAGGAGCCTATCGCAGGCCGTAGACGGGGCGCCGCAGGAGCCACTGGGTCCCAAGAGGGAAGGTACCAGTGAATCCCTGAGGGCGGCGCAGGTAGACCTGCTCGTGTAGACTGCCCTGAAGAAACGCAGTGGAGAAGTCGAGGGAGTGAAGCTCGTAGTAACGCTGAGCTGCTACGTGTAGTAGCACCCGAAGAGTAGTCATCTTCGAGGTCGGAGCGAAGGTCTGGAAGAAGTCCACCCCCTCACGCTGACTGAAACCTCAAGCCACGTAGCGAGCCTTGAACACAGGCGGCTCTCCTAGAGGGTGCTTCACTTTGAAGAGCCAGCGGCCATCGACTACGTTCATCCCAGGTGGGCTAACTGTGTCGACGTAGGTGCCAGTGGATCTCCAAGATGCCATCTCCTGCTCCATGGCAGCTATCCACTCAAAGGCCCAGGGTCCCGAGACCGCCTCAACGTAAGTGCGAGGGGTCGGGATGTCGAAAGCGTCGGGGTCACCCTCAGGGACTAGAAGCATGGAACAGAGATGGGGAGCAGCCACGGACAGGAAAGCAAGCTCGTACTGACGGTCCTCCAGGACGTCATTGCCGAGGGCAGGAGCACCCCTGACAGACGGAGGACAGGCAGGGTCAGAGACCAGAGCAGTGGCGTAGTCAAGGCGGCGGGTTGAGGCGAAGTCAGCGACCGTAGCGACAAGAGCGTCAAGACGTGAGGGACGGCGAGAGTAGACGTGAGATGGAGGCGTCGGGTCAGGAGACTGGGGAGGAGACACAGGAGGGGAACGAGGGTGAAAACGAGTCGGAGACGAGTCCGGCGGAGGAAGCACAGGGGCGTAGATAGGCAGGGGAGGCGGCGACGAAGGAGGCGCAGGCGTGGGGTCGGGGGGAGGAAGACCGAGGGGGCGAAGGGCCGACACCGTCAGCGACTGCTGCTGCTGCGGCTCCACGCCGACACTAGAGCTTCTAGTTGCACTATGACTACCTCCGAGAAGCTCCACGACATCACCCCTAGAACGAGAACCCTCGCCAGCACAAGAGCCACCGCCAGGACCGGTGGACCCCTGCGGCGGCTGCTGTTCTGGCGGCGGCGACTGCGGCTACGGCGGCAGCGACTGCAGCTGCTGCTAGGTGGCTCTGGCGGCGGAGGAGACACTCGGGCAGAGACCGGCGGCGCGAACGGAGCCAGGAGGCCACTAGAGTCAGACGACTCTTCGAACGGGACAACCGACGGGAGGGGAGTGACTTGAGACACACCAGATGGGGCAGAACAAGGGGGGAGAGAAGCAGTGGCTAGCGTGTGAGCGGGAACCAGAAACAGGGGCGGGGAAACCGGGAGTCCTCGGTGAGAAAAGCGGTGGTAGAAGGAGACAGACTCGTAAGAGGTGACGTCACACGAGTAAAAGAAGCGGTGGGACGACGGGTGATAAAAGTGCCAGTCGGAGGAGTCGAGTTGTAAACCAAGGAAGACACAGGGGACTGTGCGTACAGTGAGCTTGTCTAGGCCAGAGGCACAAACGTGAGCAAGGCAGCTCAGATGTGGAACGCAGATGCATCACCAGGGAACACGGTCCAGAGAAGGGTCGGTGAAACCTGCAGCCATTGGGAGTGCGGCCACAGGTCAAGTTGGTGAGCGGCGTAGCGAACACCGAAGTGTCACAGAAAATGGGGTGCACCGGCATGGATCATGGAGGTATGAGCCACCTCCATGACCAAACTGATGCGCCGTTCAGCGACCCCATTCTGTTGCGGGGAGTCCGGCAGGGTGTATGACTGGGTGATGCCCTACGCTCGACAGAACTGGCCAAGCCGACCAGAGGCAAACTCGCCACCACAGTCGGAGTGGAGACACAGCACAGGGAGACCGCGATGGACGCGCACAGCTACGACCTACGGAATAAGAATGTCAGGCATGTTGGCCTTCCGTTGCAGAGGAAACACTGGGGTGTAGCGCGTGTAGTCGTCGACAAGCAGTAGAAAGTAGCGCTCTCGACGTGGCTCGGGGACGAGGGCTAGGCCACAGAGGTCCAGGTGCAGGGTCTGTAGTGCCACAGTGGTAGGGCGAAGCGAGGAGGAGTGAGGAGCATGGCGCAACCGACCCTCAACTCAAGGCATGCACGGCAGCGCAGGCGAGGGAGGGAGGGCAGGGAGCGACGTAGGGAGACCTAGGACAAGACTGTGCTGGGACATGTGACGGAGACGAGGGAGTGCGGGGTGACCTAGACGGTGGTGCCACAGACGTGATGGGTGAGTGAGCGTCAGACACGAGCAGGCCACAGCCAACTGAGTAGACGCAAGCCCCTGGGGGGACGCCCTCACCAATGGGGACTCAGTGTCGAGGGTAAACAGGCCAGATCGAGGGTCCCAGGGGAACGTGGTGAGGGGGGTACTTGTAGCGGCGTCGGTATAGATCGCATACCATTCATGTCCAGGGAACGTAATGGTGACGCCAAGGTCCTGAAGACAGCCGACACCAACTAGGTTCCTGGAGAACAAGGAGATGTGTAGGCCCGTAAGGGATCTTGCGGGAGCCGCCGGACAAAGAAGGGTATTGGAGCTACGAGCAAGTACAGGGCCCGAGGAGGTGTCAGCAAGCACGACAGCAGCAAGGGCGGCAAGCGGTGTCAGCTTAGTGTGGTTGCGAAAGAAGCAGGCAGACGCGCCAGAGTCAAGCGTGAAGGAGAGCGAAGCGGAAGCTGCTGCCGGTGGAGGAGAGAGCGTTGAGCCTAGAATAAACAAGGCAGAAGGTCTTACGCCTGACGCAGCATGGGAGTCTAGACTACACACAGGTTTCACACCTAATAAGGTCCGATCACACTAGAGGCATCAGCATACTGGGAATTCAAAGTAGAAAAAGTCTGATCCATGTCTAACTAAAAAACAGGCACACCATGGCATACAAGACTGAACCAGTTGGGGAGGTTCAACACCAGGCCGAAGCGGCGGCAATAGAGGTCGTCGAGGCGGCGGAAGCAGTGGATGGTAGGATGCGGACGACCACAAACAGTGCCGCGCAAGGGGCCGGTCTGGAGCTGGTACTGGCAGCCCCCATA